GTTTGGGTAGCTTACAGGGTTTCTCAGCTCAAGAGTAATCCTCTTCTATTGCTGCAGTGAAGTTTCTTTAATAAATGGTCTTTTAATGAGAATGATACCATTGAATGATACTATCTTGTTCCACCAGGAACAAGAAACCAGTTTCAGCTGGTTCTTGCTTTCACTACCGTGTTTCCAAGGATACCTCCCTTTTCAAAGTGTCCTCTTCTCTTCCAGGTGTCTTCCTAAGGTTACCACCTCTGGTTCTATGCACTTTCCAAGCCCCTTTCTTTCATTTCTCCAGTAATCAATAACTCTGCCCCACCAGGCCTCAGACCTGTTCTCAGCATTTCCCCACTCAGCATGGCCTCTGTCCTACTGAGGGAACTCGAGTTGGTGTTATCCTTGTTCTACAGCCACTAGAATCCTGTCACACTCTCTTATGTTTAACCCTTGCCTTGCTCCCCCTCTGGTGTGGGCTTCTGAGCTGATGTTTATTTCTCCTACTTACATGTAAAGTGAAGTTTGTAGAATTTTCTTTCTCCTAGTTATATAGTAGGAGTGGGTAATTTCCTGTCCTATTAGAACCCAGAATAGTAACACATATTTTTAACTTTTAGATAGTGTTATTTTTTAGTTATCTTTTTGCTATTTTCTAATTGTACTGCATTTTGCTTAGAGAAACAGTGTGTAAGATTTCAATTCTTTGGAAATTGAGGCTTCCTTTGTGGCTGAGTACATGGTTCATTTTTTTTTTTTTAATGTTCCATGTGTATTCTATATTTGCTTGAGTTTAGTAAACCTATTAAGCACATCTTCTAGACTTAATTTTTTTTGATCGATCACAATTAAAATCTAGTAAAACTGATGTGGCCATAATGTTTTGTCCATAGTTCTGTCAAGTTGTTGCATTGTGTACTTTGAGGTTATACCGTTAGGTGTATATACGTTCAAGTTCATTAGATCTTCGACCTGTTGTTCCTTTTACCAGTATAAACTGTCCTTTCTTTGTCCCTTGTTTTCCACCTTGAATTCTATTTTGCCTGTTACCTTGCTTCAATGTTAACATAAGACATCTATCTCGTTTTATGGGTTGTCTTTGCTCTCTTGGTTCGAAAGGGCTCCCTCATCTTGGGTTGTGTGTAGTCTCTTCAGTTTTCTTCTTAAAATTACCCAATTTCTCCTACTGTTAATGATAGCATGTGTAACTAGGACAAAACACCTTTATGCCAAATAAAGCTTGGTTTTAATTACATATTTCCTTAAAAAACAATTCCTTATGCTTCAGCTCCTTACCAGTGATTCCTGAGAGCTTTGTGAGTTCCAGCCTCTGTTGCTTCACTACAAAAAGCAAAGATACACAAATTAGCTTGCTGTTTCCTCAGTTTCATAATGGCTGACTAGAAGTGCCCCTGTCATGTTAAATTAAGAAGAAGTCTTCACACAAAGGCAGACTTTGGGAATGCCACTGGAGCTGTCACCAATGCTGGTATCTAAAGTAGTTGTAGCACCAGGAGAAAGAAGGGAAAAAAAAATGTGCCGTGACTGACTAAAAATGAGTAGGTGGGAGGAAATGTTCAGTTGAATATAGGTGTAAACAGAATAGATGACAGAAGTAGAAAGGTCAAGATGACAAATTTGATTTACAAAGAAAACTAACGGTGTTCAGTGAAGAGAGGGGTGATGCCGTTACAGGGATGAGAAAGGTCAATCTCGACAGAGAGTGAGAAGGGGCATAAAGCAGAAGACAAGCCTGCTGGTGTCCACCACAGAAAAGAGGCCACATTCTAACCCTGAGAGAACCAGATTTTTACTTCAGAAAAACTGAAGGAGAAACATGGTTTAAAGATATAAGTCAATGTTATATGGAAAATGAGAGGGTAAAAACGGAAGGTGTAACAATACCAAGGAACATGGGCCCAATTTTCCAAGAGGTTAGACTGTAAGGTACAGTCCACTAGTGGCGCTTCGAAATGGAACCAAAAAATCTAGCTTGCAAGATAAAAGAGATTAGGATGAGGGATGTTTTCTAATTCTGTATTTTCAGTTTTTAAAACACTTGTTTCTATAGCTTTGCTATCTTTTTAGTTTTCTGGTTGACCTGGAGGTTGTTTTTGTTCTGAACAAAGGGGATGTAAAGCTGTTTGCTCCCATTCATGGATCGCATTAGGCATGTTGTCCAATCTATAATAAATCATGGGCTTAGTTTTTCTTTGTTAAGGTAGTCAGAGGCCTTCAGGCATGAGTGACTTATTGAAATGTACTCTCATAGTTGGGGATGAATTATGATCCTGATATTGTCAATCACTCGGTAATTTGATATCCCCGGAGCTCTCCCTTGGTTGTTTTGTACTACACAAAGATGGCATTTTATTCTCATATTTGTTCATAGACATGATTCACATTTTGCTATCTAGTGAATAAGGAAATCATTCTAAATTCAGCAATGGTGGCAGTTTGACTAAAAAAAGTTATTTTCCATATCCACAAAAATGTTAATCAGATTCTTGTTAGAACATGTGTAAGAAGTGGTTTTCATTGTCACAGCTCTTGATGTCAGATTACTAAAATAATTTATGTTTTGTTGTGGGAACACGCAGAACCTCCCAAGTCATATGACCACTTCTGAGCCCACACTTCTTCACAACACATAGAAAGTATTTGTGTTTTGTGGTAACAAATGAATGGCAGGAACAGCAGAATTTCAATGTGGCTGTTCTTTATTTGATTAAATATATTCTCTATTTATTCTTAAAAAAACTAATTTAACTTAAATGGCAATAAACCATGATAATTTAGAAAACATGTTGAAATTGAGAGTGAAGAGAAATGTTCTCTATGTAAACCGCACTGCAAACCATAAAACTTATTTTTGTCAACTGCTTCTCATGACAGTGGCTGGGAATTTGACATTTCTACTACAGTAGGCAAAAAACCATGTAAAATACACTCTCCCACATACCACATCACATCTCTATTTATATTTCCAAACTAAAAGCATTACAGCCCCTAAAAGTGCTGAGTGTACTGTGTACATTTACACCAAGAGCTGTAAGTTCACAGAAACCTTGCCTTAAACTGGTATTTGTGTGGCGAGGCCACTGTTGGCGCCCCCTCTCCCACTCACCATACTTAATGGGTCAGGCTTGGCGCACCAAGGGAAAACCATTGCTCTGTAATCCAAAAAGGTGGTGAACTTTTTTTCAATGAACTCTGGTCAACACAAAACAGGATAAAAAAACTATTCTCGAACAGATTATGAAACCCACTTGGAAGCATCCATATGATGGCATTCAATACCACTTACCCACTTCAAAATATGTCGGCAGCTATTCGATTACTTAAGAAAATGAGCCTTGTAAGAATTTACGTAGTTGGAAGGTGAGTTATTTTAAAACTGGAAAAAGAATCTTTAATAATCTCTACGGCAAACATGAATGTGACAGAAACATGGCTAGTTCTCTAATCGTATCTGAGGTATACATTCCACCCAGCTGACGAGGTCTCAGAAGTTCCCTAATAAAAACTCCCCCTCTCTACTTAAAGATCATAAGAAGTCAGCGCAATCCAGTTCTTTTCCCTGCAGAAAGGGTATTTAGTTTGGGATGTAACGTTTTAAAACAATAATACAAACCTCCTGGGAGAATACCACAATAAATGTCTCACAAACCACTCAGTTAATCCCAGGGTATAATCCGGCTGTTTTAAATTACTGCAGGGAATATTATGGGTCTTCATATCACCGTAACTGCATGAAGCCAAAGAAAGCTAGAAAGAGAGGCCAAAAAGATGAGCTCAGAGCCAGCTGAAGTGACAACAAACATGTGGCTGTTTACTAGGATTGGAGAGGTTTAGTCTGCAGATGTTTGTGGTCTCTCGAAGGTTCCAGAGGAATGAGTTATTATGAAGATTTGCAGAGTTTGATGAGAGCAAGATTCTTCTTAGAGATGGCGGGCCCCAGACAGGGAGGCCCAATGGTAGAGACGGAATTTATAGATTTCTGTGGTCAGATCATACTCTACTGGTCCCGCAATGTACATCAGCAAATTAATATTGTACGGATGTCATTTCAAAGCCTCCTAAAGACGAGAGTCATTATTGAAGCCATTAGAGCACAGATGGTTCAAACTATATGCAGATTCTCATACTTGCATTTTTGCATTATAGCTGCTTTTTTTTTCTGTTGAACTGTAATGAATTGTCTCATAATCTATTCCATCTTCTTGCCATTAGCAGGCTTTGAATGTTCACAAATAGGAGCAAAGAACTCATTTTCCAGAGCTTTAATCACACAAAGAGGGAATGCCTAATTCTCTAAATGAAATGGTCTGTGATCACTGAAGCAGAGCTTTAATATATCACGGCAAATTAGGTAGATTTTAATAAATTACTTATCTCCCTGAATACTTTACATATGCTTAAGAAGGAACATAGCCTGTTTGCAAACAGTGAAAACCCACAGCCTATAAAAATCCTTTGAAGAAAATGACAAATAAAAAAGTAAATTAAAAAATGAAATGCATTATATCCTAGACCTCCAGAGACAATTCCTTTGCAGCACTGATTCACAGCTCCATTAAAAATATCAATTAAATCCTTCAGTGAGATTGGGTAAAAGCTAGAAAATTAACTTTCTGAGCTGCTTTTCGAGGATCTGGTTATCCAGATACACCCCACCATTGTACAAGCTTGATGTAAATTTAAAAAACGATAAAAAAGATATTCCTTTCAGGTCTAACTAAGCATATCAGAATTTGAGCCATACTTTTAATAATTTCCTTCTGTGTCATAAGCTAAGTTTTCAAAACATGAATTTCATGTATATTCATACATGTACCTATCTATCTCCTCTTTACACACACATCCCTGGATCCCATTTCACCATTACAAATCCATAAAAATCATACAAATGGGAAGAAGTGTGAGTTTTAAGAAAGAAAACCAAAAACTTGCAGTAATTTAATAAGTCGGTGCCAAGTCTCATTCTTTATATTTAATTGATAGAAACTGCATGCATCAAAGAAAATGCATACTGAGGTTTAATGTGCATAAAATGGATATTAGCATTTTAAAGAGGAAGATTAACACATTAATCCAAGTAATTTTCATATATTGCTTCTAATAAAATCTTCACAGTATAAAACTCTTAATGAGGCTAATCATAGGCATTCCATTTAGTGGGACGATTAGGGATAACATAAAAGTATTTCTTTTCATAGGTTTTCTAAGATTTATCCTTTTTGCTTATTAAAAATAAAAATGGGAATTGCATGTCGGTTCTTCATAAGAAAGTGTTGAAGATGCAAATAGACTTTCTCATGCTATCATGTAGGTATAAATTATTGAGAAGGTACTGCCCATGGTGGAGAACTGAAGTCCTGAGGGGTGGCAGTCATGGGAAGGAGGGAATAGAAAAATAAACAAATGGAAAAGTATACAAAACTTGAACACGACCAACCCAGGCCTCCCCCTCCCTGCGTGCCATGAATTATAGATTATATACACCAGAGTAATTACAGAAATCTCATCTCAGAGCTTTCATGTGAGCGTTTACTCAGGAGCAGGGATGCCCCTGGAGCAGCTTCTTTCAGCCTCCAGGTCATCTCTGTATTGCTCGTAGACAGACCGCAGGGCATGGAGCGCTTCGACGGTTACCCTGAGCTTGCCGATACGTCCACCACCTGCCCGTGCATCCAAGACTAGGGAGAAAAATGGCAGAAAAGTGTTAATGTCATTTAACAGATTTTTCTTCAGATAGGTTATGTGAAGCAGGAATTGCAAACATGAAGACGGCTCTATAAAAGTCCAAAGTTCACTGGCACCGCAGAAATCTGTAAATTAAAGCCTGTCCTGTGTGTAGGAAGATACACATTTCAGGTGTATTACTTGTGTGCATCCTTATTGCCCGTGGAGATCAAGACTCATGATCTCTCCTGAAGCTGACCTCGTGGCAAGGCTGCAGGATGACGATTCCCGCACAGGATCAGAATTTCTAAGTTAGAAGAAGTCAAGTCTAGAAGGGATCAAGATGCGACAATTCCAAAATATTTTTAAGGAAACCTTTAAATGCAACTTGGTATACAAAGACTTAGGTGGAGACCTGAGCAGGCAAGGAGGCCACGGGGCATGAGTGGTCCCCAGCTCATTCCCGAGTTTCCTTACACCTCTTCTTTGGGACTCCTCACTGCTCTGGTCTGGCAGAGAACACAGCATGAAAATCCTGACCTGACACCTGAGTGTTTAATTTTTTTGACTCTCTCTCAAAACGTGGCCACAGAGGCTGTCTGTGACAGATTAGTGTGGCCATACGTGGATTCTCAGAATGAGAAGATGGGCTGCTAACCAGAACTGACTGGAGAAAAGATTAAGAATATAAAGCATAGATCATTTTCATCGCTTTTCTCAGACTCTCTTGGTTCTGGTTGTCTTTCAGAGGGTTTAGGTTAATATTTTAATCCTCTCATCTTCTTTTTCTGTGCCAAACAAAGTTGTGACAAACTGTCATGTAGTTAGATATGTATAGTTTATAAAGATTTCCCAGGATAGGTTTCCAATTTGGTTAATTATCTGGCTTGATGTTGACTTGTGAGCATGTAACACATATACAGGACAGAGGGCTTGACATACGAACTGCAGCTGAACTATGGGGTAACAGTGTCTGGCACTTAAGAGGTGCTCAAGTAAGTGTTCACTGAATGCACAAACAAATGAGCAAACAAGCCATGTACAGTTTTCCAGAGATGGCCCTGCTAACTTAACACATGCGACTAGGCCTCAGCCTCATTTGTCCATTTATTGTGTACAGCCCTGGCCATCCTCATGATGATTGTTAAACATCTGATTCATAAAGCACAATTCCTTCAGTGTGTTCTAAATATATTATATGAGAATCCGGAGGGTAGAAACTAAGCCCTGATGGGACTCATGCCTTTGAGGCGAAAATCCAGGAGAGTACATTTTGTCAGGAATCCTTTACTCCTCTCTGAATCCTGCTAGGAAATAAGTGACCGTTACGATTTGGAGTCATTTGCAGTGGCCATATCACTGGATTGTAACACTGAATTAAAGAGAAGCTTTACGAAAGGCACTATAACGATGACTCAGAATAACATGCCTTGGTTGAAATAAGGCTTGACAGCATGAAGCTCCCACAAACAACATCAAAAAAAAAATCCAATGGCCACATTTTTGTCACACACTCACCCCCAATACTAACAAAATGAGTAATTCCTTGTGAAGTGCAATTCATTGTTTTAAAATTTCTGTTGATTGAAAGGAAGGCAGAGGGGGAGGGCAAGGGAGGGAGGGAGGGAAAATCTTCCAGCTTCAAAAAAAAAAAAAAAAGCTTGAGCTGCAGAGGATTCAACCAATGTGTGACTCAATATCCCTGCAGCCAGCAAAAAAGAAGGTTTTAATAAAGAATTTGGAGTTCAGCATTTGTTGTACAAATTGAGCAATACTCCCACCCATACCATCGATATTTTGCTCGATGATGTCTCTCCCTTCCTGAAACAAGTCAGCGAGGTCAAGGTTAGCAATGCCAATGTCTTCACATTCCAGATCCTGTTCGTCCTCTGGAGGGTCACTGACCACCGTGAAGCGCACACTGAGAAGGGAAAAAACAGAAAATCCCCACAAAGTGAGGGAAAAAAATCACCATGAAACACAACTCCCAAATGGGGTTTTATCACTAAGTATGAAATCTCAAAGTTTCCAATTATTCCAATAAAAAGCAAATTACATGAGGTTAGATAAGTTATTGCATGAACTACTAGAATTATTATAGCATGCCCAGCCTCCAAATGAACATAAATCCACTTTTCTAAGCACTGATTAACATTTAACTCTAGAATCTGAGGAAATTACTAGGCAAAGAGAAAAACCAGATGTTCTCTCTAATACACACTATCTGATCGTATTGTGACACATCTACTTTTAAGGCTAAAAGGATCACGTGAATAAAGACCATGGAGATCAGGGCACCGTTTTCAAAAGAAATGCAACATTTTCTATAGAAATGTACAACTTCAGAGTGGCTACCAAGCAATTTATCCAACCCTCTGTGTTCTATGAAATGCAGGGACCATGCTCCCCAGTAACATTCTGAGTCACATTAGATAAATATCGTAGCTCTGCCCAACAGCTACAAGGAATGTTTGTACTACTTCAGCAATCTTTTAACTTACAATCCTAGCATCCAAGTTTTATTTTACTTTTAGACACATAATTGTACGGTTCCGATGGAACTGATTTGATTTAGTGGCTTGTGTTGAGGCCAAACACACTTGGATTGACCAAATGACAGGAATTTACAGTTAAGTACTCTTTTGATATGTCTTGGCAGTGGAGCTTAAACCATGGATATTTGTTAACTACCATTTTAACCATTTTCAAAACGTAGCCATTCCAAATCAGAAACAAAACAAGAAACTCGTTTCTTAGATCACATTTTGAGATGAAAATCTAAGTCTCTGAGAAATCATGCCTTGAACAATACGTGCAAATATCCTTTCCAAACACAGGTAAACATGATAGTATTTTTAACTAATTTGCTGAAAGTAAGCATTCGACATTTCATTCCTTTACCAAATCCCTGTTTTTAACCAGCAATAAATTTTGATTAGAAAATAGAAATCCCAGGACGCCTGGGTGGCTCATTTGGTTAAGTGTCTGCCTTCAGCTCAGGTCATGATTCCAGTGTCCTGGGATCAAGCCCCCACATCAGGCTCCCTGCTCAGCGAAGGGCCTGCTTCACCTTCTGCCTGCCGCACCCCCCGCTTGTGCTCTCTCTCTCTGACAAATAAATAAAGTAAAATCTAAAAAAAAAAAATAGAAATCCCTTCCATTGAAACCAAATGCAACACCTATTCACACAATAATTGTGAAGAATACAGATCCTAATTTGTAACTGGCTGAATATTTTATATGATGCATAAAACAAAGGGATTAAGATGGAGTGGTTAAAGGGCATCCATTGTGAGTTCAGATTTAGCTCTTCTACTATTAGCTGTATAATGTTAGAAACATTACTAAACCTTTCTGTTCTTATCTGTAGAATGGGAAGGGGAATGTCTGTCTCACAGGGCTCTTATGAGGATCAAATGAGATGATACATGTAAACAGTGCCTGGAACATGTTAAACATCGAGGAAATGTTTGCTCTTTTATTACTATTATTTTTAATCTAAGTAGAGCTGCTTAAGCTTCTACATTTCTAACGGAAGAGAAAAAGAAGACATGGGGAAGACTTGTTTCAATTGAAAACTGAGATTGCCAAATTATACAATGACTGTATCACTCAGTTAAACAAGAAGAATGGTGATAAAAGTAATTGTCCTAAAATGAATATGCTTGGAAGACTAGGACTTAGTGATATCTGATGCACATTTTACATCCACAAGACTTACAAAAAAGACAGAGGCTGTGCAGATTGTACTAATATTGTTAAGTGTTATCCTCCTATAATGTCTCATATTTAAGGATCATATCTCTGACACTTTACAAATGCAGACCATTACCTCCACTGAACATATGAGAATTCTGAGACAAAAAGGAAAAAAAAAACCCTTCTAAATGCCAGGGAAAGGGTTAAAAACCAAAATTCAGTATTCCTAGCTTTAAATTCTACAGAGAGCAAAATGAGATGTCAAATACGAAATTGAGAAATTATGAAGTTAAGCTAAATAGGGAAGAAGGTACACCCAAATAATCTAAAAGCTACAATTTGGCTTAGGATAAACTGCACATAAGATACAAGACACATTTTCTGTTTCCCCTTTAAGCCTGCCGAACAAAGAGGTGGAAATCTTGCTTGTTCCGTGTCCTAAAGAGGCTTCCAGTCCAGGCTGAGGACCAGGGCAGATGCGTGGGTTAGATTTCAGGTGGAACCGGAAGTGCCCTGGGAGCTGCTCCTGCCTCCCCTTCTCCCCTCTCCCTCCTGCAGAACGCTCCCTTGGTCCCAGACACAGACCTCTATGTCTTCCTGCGGGCCCGCATTCCCTGTGCCTGCGATGATCCTCCTTGCGCGGTTCACGACCTGACTGCGTCCTCTCGTGCCCTCACTACCCAGCTTACTGTCACCGCCTTAGGCCCGCCGTCACTGCTACTTTCTATGTGACAACTTGTGTAACTTTCTCTTAACGGCTGACTCTAAAATGTAACTGGTTTATTTGTTTACTTGTTGTTGTCTGTCATCCTCAGTGGGACGGAAACTCTGTAAGTGCAGGGACTCCACCTTGTCAAGCATTTCGCTCCTGATGCTTACGTAGGGGATCATAAAGATTGTTGAATTACTACACGAACTGCAAAATGGACGCTCCTATTGAAGGCTGGCTCATTTGAAGCAGGTCGACTGGAGGAGGCAGGCCCTGGGCTGGGCATCAAGATTTAGACCTCAAATGTCACTTGCTGTTATATAGGAAATCAGAAAGCACTAAAACTCCTTAAATCGTTTAACATTTTTGATTCTTTCCTCATTCTGAAATAATTCCTTTTCATACAAAAGAGGATAGAAGACACTAAGGGTTACCTGTGAGTTTTACATACCGGAATGCTGATGGTTATGGTGGATCTGCTCAATAGAACATGTTAAAGAGAAGAAATGAAACCAAAAGAGAACCTTAAGTCAGTGTCAAAATGATGACTTCAAATAAGTAATTTTTAAGTCCTGCTTCAAGGTGTTACCTCCCTTTGAAGGTGACACTTGTATACTTGCAAATATAGCCAGGGCCAGGTGCAAAGGTACTGTATGTATTTGTTATACAACGTACATAAATTTATGTATGTCAGGGAAGACTGGCCAAACTTCTCTAACTGTGGCTTCGTAAGCTGCCTCCATATTCAAGGGGGTCCTGCCTGAGAAAGCGAATTCTTATAAACTAGCAGGTACTTTAAAACAATGTGAAGTAATGGGACCTGTAAGTATTTGCAAAAGGTGAGAACATTCACTGGAATAACAACCGCCTTTTGGCTGTGGAAACTTGTAAACATAAACTCCCCCTTTCTCCTGAAGAAAATGATACTGTCAAGGGAGAAAAGCAGGCGCGCGCCCCTTCTCTCCTGTGATGGCCCCATTCCTGCCACAGTGGCCAGTGGCGTGGCCAGTGGCGCGGTCAGTGGCGCTCCGGGCATTTACTCGGACCCCATCCCCTGCCGCCAGTCACTCTGCGTCTCCAGTGCCTCTCTTGGTTTTTCTCAAAATGACACGAACATTTGTATCTCTGGGGATCATTTAGAGATTCTTAAAGAAACAAGGATGGGTCAGTGGAAGTCATTACATTTACTGTGGACTTTAAAAATTTTTTAAAACAGTTTGGCTACAAGGGGGTAGGTCTTCTGAGGAAAGGCAGGTCTACATTTAAAGCAGAACCTGTCTTTTTAAAAACACACACTTTTGAGGAAACAAAATTACTCTCCCCTGATGAGGAGTGCTACTTATAATATGTTCTAACATTCCAGAATCAAAATGAACACAGAGGTAGACAAATCAATCTACTGGAAAGATTGGGAAGTCCAGCCCAGGGCTTGTCCATGGGAACAGAGCTCAGTCCTGGACAGTAACGACCCAGCCTGTTGACCACAGAGAGGCATTACACAGCACTGCACTGACCAATGACATGGTCAGTGCTGTGTAATCACTTCTGACCTGGGATAACCCTAGAACACTGATGGCATTCAGGGGGCCTTGAAAGAAGCTCAAGTATACAAAGTAAATAAGTAAAACTTGAATGATTTTCTACCATGCTGGGAAATACAGAGCTTCAGACTAATTAACAGGGTTTTTAGCACCCCTTCTCCAGAACTGAGATCCAAAGAACTGATATATGTATTTCAAGGAGTTAATGAAAAAGCTACTATCAGATCCTAAGAGCTAAGAACTCCAGGCTCCTTTCTTGAAAGAGAAGATCAAATGCTAGTTTTCAAGCTCTTTTGAAAAACAATGTCTTGGGGAACCTGGTTGGCTTGGTCAGTGGAGCATGCGACTCTTGGTCTCGGGGTTGTGAGTTTGAGCCCCATGCTGGGTGTAGAGATTACTTAAAAATAAAATCTTAGGGGTGCCTGGGTGGCTCAGTCATTAAGCGTCGGCCTTCATTCGGCTCAGGTCATGATCCCAGGGTCCTGGGATTGAGCCCCGCATTGGGCTCCCTGCTTGGCAGGGAGCCTGCTTCTCCCTCTCCCTCTACTGTTCCCCCTGCTTGTGCTCTCTTGCTCTCTCTGTCAAATAAATAGAAAAAAAAAATCTTAAAAAAAATAAGTAAAATCTTAAAAAAAAGAAAAGAAAAATAGAATGCCTTTAACGTTCCCTTCATGCCCTCTACGAAAGGCGAGAACGTGAGTCTCTTTCTAAGGTGGGCAGGGGCGAGCGCCATTTCTGAGGCACTAAGTGTGTCATCTATGGGCCACAAAGGCAAGGAGAAAGAGACAACAGAGAGATAAAGGGCCCATCCCGGCCAAGGGAGGAGAGCCAGCAAATGGGCTGATGGGCAAAATCTTCTGTTAAGATTTGCAAAAAAAAAAGGCATGAAATGATGAATAATTAAACAATGATAGTAAATTAAAATTAGTCTGGAAGGCTGATGAGCTAGTACAAGTAATAATACTGACATCACTACTACTTACATCGATGACAATGAATGCTTATTGCGCACTCTGTGTCCGGTACTATTCTAGTCATCCCGCATATGTTATCTCGTTGAATCCTCACAACCACCCTATCTGGTATAATCTCCATTTTACAGATGAAGAACATGAGGCAGAGGGTAGTTGTCCAAGGTCAGACAGCTAGTAAGTGATGAAACAAGAATTTATACTCAAGCCATGTGGCTCCAGAGTGTACCCCCCCTTGCAATCATGTCATGCTCTTCACTGTTATACTTGAACAGTGATGGAATGCTGAGTATATACCATATGGTGTTTTGTTTGCAGAGCACTGTCAGATCTTTACAGTTGCTCTGTATGGCACGCAGGGCTACTTTATTTCTAGGAGGAAAGAGACCGAGAGGAAACATACTCATTCAAGGACACAGGGTGAATCAGAGTTCTGATTCCGCATCTTGAGCTTTCTTTCACCACAAGCATGCTACAGAGATCTACTTGACATGAACCATCCGATAATGTAGACCGCTCACATGTACCTTCTGTAAGGCAGCTCTTGTTTCAGTAGTATTGATTTTAAGATGTCTCTCTTTGCTTGGTTGTTTTCTTTATCCACGTAGATCACTATACCAAAAAAAAAAAAAAAAAAAATCTACAGAAAGAAGTCACTCAGGAATATGCTACATTAGTACCATTCTGTATTTGTATAAATACCTGTTTTTAGAGACACAAGTCATGCCATCTCACTTGTATGCCTGGGAAAAGAGAGCAGCTCTGGAAACCAGAATCAAATCTGAGCAGTCATGTGATCTAATGTCATGTCACAGGCAGGTTTATGTGCACACTGTCAGAAAAGATACCAGCAACATCTAAGAGTGCCACATCGCTGTCACTGCCTGTTAATGGCACTGGCAGTCATGACAGTAAAAGCCAGCGGTCTTTATTGCTTTGTATTTGAGGGATTTACTGCATTTTCTCACACCCAAGAAGCGAGTGATAATGATAATGTATGGCAGAGAGCTTGTCCTTCCTGACAGCCTCGGTAATTTAATCCTTCTCTCCTGCCACAACATGCAATAAAAGAGGCATCTAGTGTCTTGGGTTGAGGAAATCCAGAGGCTGATGTTTGCTGATGTTTGGGGTCGGGGGGAGACGGGAGAGAAATGTAGGGAAGGGAGAGAGAAGCTTTTTAGGGTATGAAGTTTGTCTTTGTTTTTTAATGGTACGTGTTGGGGGGCGCTGGGGTGGCTCAGTCGGTTAATCATCTGACCCTTGGTTTGGGCTCAGGTCGTGATCTCAAGGTCGAGGGATGGAGCCCTGCGTCAGGCTCTGCACTCAGTGGGGAGTCTGCTTGGGGATTCTCTCTCTCTCTCTCTCCCTCTGCCCCACCCCTGCTCACACTTGTGCGCATGCTCTCTCTAAATAAATGAACCTTAAAAAAAAAAAAAAGATGCAAGTTGGCATGCAGGAATGTGGCCAGACTTTACTTGGCTGAAATATGAGATGAGAGAGCTGATCTAAAGCCCCACCAGGAAGAAGGCGGTGAACACTTGAAACTGTAAATAAGCACCTGCGCTTTGGGAAAATGGCATCTCAGAGTTCGAACACCAGTTTCCAACCTGATTATTTTTTCTCAGCTCGGCAGCCATTCAGCATGCCTTAGCTTCTGAAGACATTTCTTTTTCAGATGCCATTTTGGAGGTAAAGTGCCCCTGTGACCAGATCTCAATTTAGAGACTATCCCTGATCAAAAGTACACAAAGGGTGAAAGATACCATGACAATTCCAAAGCCAGACTCTGCTGGGAATGAACATATTTCATCCCGAGAATGTTTCCTTGGACAATTTTAGTCCAATCTCAAAGTATGATACTATCAATTCATTTAATCATTTGGCTCAGTTGACGTGCTGGGCACTGAGTTAGGCATGCAGGGTGGGAGACACATCAGCGTCTGCGTAGGGGTGGGTTAACAGTTTAAGAGAAGTGAGAACCAAGGTCAAACAACGGCTCTTAGCTTGTTGCTGTTGCATGATGCAGTATCAGTAAATTATATAGGTTATACTAATTATACAGGTTACTGAGTTCTATAGGAATCAGAAAAGACAAAAGGTTCAGAGTATTCTGTCAGTATAGTGCTCTGCTTATCAATGCTAAAAAGGCTTACTAAGAGATGAGTTCCACTAATGCTGGGAGACTGGACCTCATTTTGGCCACCAGTACCCCAAACCAAATGGGAACTTTTTTCCCCCAAATGGGAATTTTTTTGTTTTTGCTGTTAATCACCAATTCAGGATGAGGTTCAGCATATCTTTTTGACTTCAGAGTTCTAAAGCTTAAAAGCCATAATGGTCTACATTATTTTTTTTGTGATAATTTTTTGGATAATTTCCCCCCTAGTTTTACTGAGATAAAATTGACTTATAACACTGTATTAATTTTAGGTGTATAACATAATGTTGTGATATATGTATACATTACAAAATGGGTTTTAGTTAACATCCATCACCTCACTGAGTCACACTTTTTTTTTTCTGATAAGAGCTTTTTAAAGATCTACTCTTTGCAACTCTCAAATACACAGTAGAGTCTTGTTAACTATAGTGTTCTACATTATTTGAAGACAAGGGTTATCTCAGTGATAAAAACAAAAAAGACTGAATTCAAAGTCCAGCAACCAGATAGTTTTCCAATTAAATTAGGCCAGTTCTGACAAATCTCAATAGCTTGAAAAAATTTTTTTACTGTGGTCAAATACACATAACATAAAATTTATCATTTTAACCATTTTTAAGCATATGGTCAGCGACATTAAGTACATTCATACTGTTGTACAACTATGACTACCATCCAGCTCCAGAATTTTTTCATCATCCCAAACTGAAACTCTGTTCCCCCAGGTTCCCCCAGTTCCTGGTAACCTCTAGTCTACTTTTTGTCTCTATGAACTGGACTCTTCTAGGTACCTCTTATTAAGTAGAACGATACAATATTTGTCCTTTTGTGTCTGGCTTATTTTACTTAGCATAATGTTTTTCAAGGTTCATCCATGGCATGTATCCAAATTTCACTCCTTTTTAAGACTGAATAATGTTCCATTTTGATATACAGATTTTGTTTATCCATTCATCTGTTGATGGACATTTGGGTTGTTTCCAACTTTTGGCTATTGTAAATAATGCTGCTATGAACATGGGTATTCAAGCATCTGTCAGAGTCCTTGCTTTCAATTCTTTTGGGTAGGTATCCAGAAGTAGAAGTGCTGTACCATATGGCAATTCTATGTTTAACTTAAAAAAATCTTTATCACTGAAATTGGTAAAAAAAAAAAAAAAAGGTATAGTTGGGACACCTTCTGCTTCTGCTTCATCCAGTTGGCCAGCACACTGTATTCCCTATTCTCTTAACAATGATACAAATAGTGACAGCTATTGTTTATTGAGTGATGTTTATGTACTAAGTACATAATACTCAAGTACTCAATACTTTTCTTATGGCAATCACATGTGTTAAGAACCATACTGTCCCACATTTGACATATGATTAAGTAGACCCAGAGAAGGTAAGTAATTTGCCCAGGCTCACCTAGTTAGAAAGTGGCAGAACCAGAATTTGAATCCAGCGAAGTCTGCCTCCAGAGCCTGCCTTCTTAACCTCCATGATAGAACTTCTCCTTAATATGAAGCCAAAACTTTTCCTGCTGTTAAAGCTGCAACGCTGTTGTCAGCACAGATGGGAGTGCGAGAGAGAGAGTTCTGTACCCACATCAAGGGAAGCCACCTGATCCTCCTTTCACTTTCACAAAGGGATATTGCTTGGGTACAGCCGGTCCAGGTGCCTTAAACAACTCTCTTGGGCTCAACACTTTTTAAAATTCCTTTCTGAAAAAACTCAAGCTCCTTACCCATCAGCTTACTTATCCAAAAGTATACCAAATGTGAAATCCAGCTCTCCTGCTTGTATAAACAATGCCTAGAATACAGGCTTCTTAATCTAGCTCAGCAACTCTCCGCCTTTAATGTATGCTGGGAGGGCTGGTTAGAATGCACATTAATGAGCTCACCCTGACTTACTAATTCAGCAGGCCTGGGGTAGGGCCTAGAATGTGCATTTTTATCTTCACAGCAGCTTGTCACATACTGAGAACCACTGTGTAGCTCAACATCCCTTTGCCTAATTTTTTAATAGGATCAGCAACCAGTGGACAATTTGTGGTGAACATGTGGGGAACTGGGACACTGGGGCCACCTCCAGATCAGGGTCCTAAGGACATCCATTTGGTGTTCTGGAACTAGATGGTTAAAAAAATATCTACAGTTTCAAAACTTCAAATAGATCTTTTAAAAAGCAATTCTGGTGATTTAAAAAGTATCAAAACTCTCTAAAAATTAAGCCATTTATCTTTTATTCTCATTAGAAATCACTGGTTTAGGACTTGCTAGATTTTGACAAAACTTACTGAAAGCATATGTTTCAAAAAAGGTACAAAATAGTAGTCCAAAGACAAGCTGATTTTGAATTGTCTACCATTAAAAACCTATCCTTCACTTCTGCAGTTTGGAAAAATCCTTACATTCTTTATCAGTGTCATTTGGCAGAAGAAATGCAGATGGCTTAATTACAAAGGGTTGATAGACTTGAATCTCAAAAAACTTTTTCTGTTGGAGTGTTATCATCCTCCTAATCCTTATCTTTGCCAAATTTCTCTTCCTATTAGTGACAAAATGTAAATTCTGCATTGTTTTCATCTTCTGAATTAAACGTTAATTGTTCCAAAACATAGACTGTTCAGTGCTCAGAGACTAAGGACCCAGATCCATATAAGTCTCATAAAAACTTTGGATGATTTCATTAATCTTTTTTCTTCCCACTGTCAATTCCCTAGAAGGCTTTATTCAGCCCAGACAACATTCTTCAGACCTACCATTAATCTTATTTTTTCCAAACTATTTTCTTGCTTTCTCAGCATTCTCTGAGCAAAAATTTCAGGCCCAATAAAATACAAATGTTTTGTTCATGCTACAAATGTCTAGCAAGTGAATTCAACTTTGTTTTTTTTTCCCCCAGCATTATTTTTTCCAGCATTTCCAGCCTTAAGAAGATACATTTTTTGTGTAAGTAGAACTGGTATTAACACCTCTTAATAAAGACTGAATCAAGCTATAAATAATTTGGGGATCACTAGACTAAACCTCTCTTTTTATGTACCTAATTTAGGCTTCAGGACACAAATCCCTTTTGAAAAGATTCAAGCCATAATGCAGGATAAAAATCACTGTGAGGTTCGGTCAACCTCTCAACTGGTATGGTGTTCAGATAGGAGATAGCATGTACTAATTGTCCTTTAGATTTTCCATCTGAATTAAAAAGTCAGTTTGGAAATAAAATTACTTTCATTAACATTTAATAAGATTTGGAAGTTGTAAGTCTACATTATATTGACCTTTTACATCAAGTCACAAGTGAATGGCAAATTATTACAATAATTAGATGAGATAGTTATTTATTAACCAAAGATTCAAGGAGATTCTCCTGCACTGAAGGTGATGCAAATACGATAATTTAAAAATAAATATTTTCACTATGTTATACGTAAGTGAAAAGTAAAATAAAGCCTCCTACAAGGTTATTATTTCTCAAATTTGCTGATGACCTAAGACTACATTTTTTCAGATACAGTAGATAAAAAACAGCATTATTTTGCTTGAAAGCACAAAATACATTCCTCTCCCCTCCCACCAGGAGGGGATTTAAATATCCTTACAATTCTTTTCAATTAGCGTTTAAAATTCTCATAGTCAAATCTCAATAGGTAGGAAGAGAAGCTGAGAAAAGGCATAGTAAACATTTCTATGGAATTCATTTCTAGTAAATTATTGTTTTTTTTTGTTGCATTCAGATGACTAATTATTCATTAGAAACATAAGCAACTCTTAAAATACCAATTAGAGAATAGGGTATCTTGCAGTAAAAGGAAAAAATATACCTGAGCAAATGCCAACCAACCAACTAACGAAAAGCCCCCCAGAGCCCTTGGTTACCATGTGAGAACGTTACAAAATTCAGGACACTTGAGCATGTGTTAACAGGTTGCATCCCAGAATGATCTGCATTGCTTCTTAAGCAAATAAAAACAATCTGTTGTACAGCAGGCCAAATTTCTCAATGTACAATTACTAAAAAGCAATTTTGTTGTCAGTCCAACCAAACATTCTACTGCTGACCTTTAAAAAGAGTAACACAAAAGCCAGAAGAGTTTGTCTCTTTTCCTGGGGCATCTTCGTTATAATTAGTTGTCTAATTAGTTCTTCCATTACTAATAATATTTTGATATGGTTTACTTTTCTGAAACTTTGCAGGTAAAAGATCTCTAGGAAGCTTGAGAAAATATTTTTGGAAATGTTTCTGTTATATCAAGTCAGTGAAAGGAAGGAGGAATCAGATTCTTGTCCTGACCACACTATTTATTTCCCCTGTGATTTCTCAACCCATGTCATTATAGGATTATAGAATTTGAGCTGGAGGGGATCTAAAAGAGCGCCTTATTCAATAGATAAGAAAACAGGATACCATGAGATTTAAACATCTTGCCCAAGTTCACATAACTAATAAGAACTGTGGATACAGGGAAGACTAGAACAGATTTGTGGATACTCATGATTATTGTCTCAAGCAATGACCACATTTCCAAAAGTAGGTGTGTGCACATGCGCGCACACACGTGCACACACACACACAAGTAACCATGAGCATTTGTAATCTTACTGCATGATCAATCAGTAGCATGATATACATACAATCAATAGCATGATTACACATATTGATTAAAATGCCATTTATAAAACTGGTGAGAAAAAAATATTAGTGTTCAACTAATACAAGATGGCCTGTTTTTGCTAAAGATAATGCAACACTCCATCTTCATGGTTTGTTTTAATATAGGGCTTTAGAACTTAGTAAGCAGTTTTAACATAGGGTCATGTCAGCTTGATATATTTTTACTCCTCTTTAACTATACACTGATATATACTATTCTTTAAAACATCTTAAAAGTTGGCTGATCGAAGAACTTACAGGGTACCAGTTGGGTCTGACTTAGATGTCAACTAGCTGGTAGATAAAGCCCTCAAAGAGAAAACCTGCCTGCAGCCATCAGTGATTGTGTGGGCTAAATCATGAAAAGGTATTCTAAGAATTTATGTCACTCAACTAAAATCCTGAACATATAGACACTGGGAGAGATGTATACGTATATTGCAAAAACATCCATGTGATGACACTGATCAGAAAGGTAGAAAAAAATTAGGTCACTGAATTGTTTGAATCATATGATTAAAAAGCTAGTACTTTTTCTTCCCTGTGAAATATTGTACTTTTTGATTCAATTCAAGTGTAGACCTAGGTGACATTTTTCTACTGATACTATAATATAGCAGGAAGGTCTAGAGACATTGTTTTTCTACTGTTTTTTGTTTTCTCTTTAGTATTACTTCAAATTTAATTTCTTAATCCTTATGCTACAGGTTTGACTTTGATTAATCCATTCTGATGGGACTTCCAGGACTTTATGTGAACATTAGAGAATTATACTTTTTCCTTGTTCCTGCAGCTACCTTCACAGATAAGACAAAAATGAAAGTCTGTATTATAAAGGAACCATACATACCATTGCTATAATTATAGTAGACCCACTGCCCACTCTTGGGTTTTGGAAGTGACACAGGTGTCTCTTCAGCAGGAAGACTGTAGAATCTGCATTCAACGAACAGCCGTTGGATAGTGTCATCTGCAGTTACTCGACAATCATTAAGGCTTAGAGCTATGATCTCAATCCGAATTTTTTCTGATGGCTGTTTAAAGAGCAAAAACAAAACAAAAAAACAACAAAGAAACATAAAACAAATGAGCAAAAACTCCTTTACTCTTTTCACTATCAATTTTAAATAAAACATAAAGGCCAATGGGTTTCTTTTTTGGAATGCATTGTACACTACTGTATAGTTACACATGATAGATTATTCACGACAGAGAGAGAGAGAATGAGATTCTAATGCCCCAGGGTTTGAAGTTAACAGTGTCATGGCAATAGTCTCCTGATTTACATGTGAGGCTATAAATACCCCACTAGTAGTCTATCAGGGGTGAAGATTATGAGATCTTCATCTCCGATTGCTTTCAGAATGACAAGTATCAGTTGGCCTTATTTCAAACTATGTAATGAAGTACATGTTTATCACTGCTTTTATTTAATCTACAGTACCTGAGAAAGTTTTGGTTATTCAGAGATCAAAGCCTGTTGAATACTTTATAGCTATTATGCTAATAAAAGTAGCTATATGAATCCATATTAACTAGAGCAGAAACTATAGTTCATCCTCTTATATATTCTGCCATAGCATATTTCACTCAATAAGTACTGTTTTCAAACAAAAGGAACAAAACTGTTACCTAATTTACCACATATTTCCTTGGAATTCATTTTTTATCTCATTTTTACCCAATTAACAACTAAAAATATATTTCTTTTACTGTGTAATTTTCATTTCAATCCTTAATAGATTTTGGTGTCACAGACATTATTAAGCAAGCCGTATATGTTTCCTTGAGTAATGATTTAAAACAAACGACACACTATGACTTAAAAATTACATCACACCAAGATAACTCCTCGCTTAAATATTTGTTTTTTATAATTTTAAATTTGTGCTTCATTCCCTATTCCTAAATCCCTCTTTACTAAATTCAGAAGCATGCTACTGTAGATTATATAACTTCAAATAATAATTAGAAAATCCTGAAACTAAGACCTGTCTGTAAGACCAACTTTTAGGAACTCACTGTCAAACATAAATCAGTGTGCAAATTCAACGCAGTGATTGCTTAGATATTTCAAAGCATATAATATAATTAATCAAACTGAAAAGCATAACTATCTTATTGTAAAAATATCCCCATGAAGAACTATTTCTATTGCTGTCAAACCCCCTCAATATTTGATGAAGTAATTTTAGCCCATTCTTTCAAAAGACATTTTCTTTTATTATGTATTCTAAGACACTTTAACTAAAAACCCAAATCTGAATATTTCAATAAGGTTATTTTATTATTCAGTAGATTCATGGAAATTTTACTAGGATGACAGAGAAAATTCCACACCATTCTGTCTCCACTAATACAGGTACAAGGCTGCAGCTGGCAATATTACTAGGATTAGCATAGTATGATGAAATATTTAAAGGAAAATTTTTTCTAAAACCTAATAAATCAAATGACTGCCAAATGTCATTAAAGTGATGGTCTTTGACTTGAATATGCTTTTCATATTCAAATTTGAAAAGAAAGAGATGAAAGCCTGGAAAGGTTACTCGGTTTCAACTAATAACCTCAAGCCCTCTCCGTTCACGTGCATAAAAAATGAAGTTGGCTCCATTGTCTAACCTCACTTCAGAAAAGCCCTTCTCTGCTTGCCGAAGACTAACATGGTAAAGAAAATATTTTAAGTGATACTATTTTTTCCTTAAAATGTATGGTGGTTGTCAAAATATCACACATGAACACCCATTTTATAATTCTGCTTCAAATGCAGCACAATTAAGCCTTTTACATGACTTGTAATTTGAAAAATTCAGAATTGTTGTAACAATAACTTCATATAAAACATTCCTGTTCGTTTCTGCACAAAAGAATTAAAGGAAATTAGCCATAAAAAAGGCGAAAGAGGCATATACATGGTTATTTCTACATTGTGAAAAGAAGAATTTGAAGTTGTTTATCATAGAACCCAACGAAGAGGCAAATGAACTTTTAAATAGCAGGAGAATCAGATTTATTTAACTGGTTATTTTATTAATAATATATTAAGTATATAGTTCCCATGTGAAAACTTGCATTATTGTAAGAATGTATTTAGGTTGTTAAATAAGACTATATATAAAAATATAATTCTAAATGAAAGTAGATTACAGCCAAAGAAACAAACCAAAACATCAATACCAAACAAACCAAAAGAAAACCCACTGTATTATTCAAATAAATAAAAGAGCTTTAAAATTCCTCACATGATATCACCTCCTTTCTGGTCCAGTTTTTTGTTGTTGTTATCTACCCGCCCCCGCACCCCACCCCCACCTCATTACCTCTATCCTAAGTCCTTCTAAGTTCTCTAATATTATGGACAGAAGTTATTAGGTATCATTTCTTTGTTCTTTTTACGCTACATGAATCAACTTAAAATATATCAAAAAGGGGATACCTTCCAAATCGTATGTATTTAGGGAAACACGCTCTGAATAAAGATTTTTCCAAACATGATACATTTTGGCTACTGGGCTAGTCAATTTATTTTTCAACATTGGAACAATTCTGGTCGTGTTCTTGTCTCTGTGAATCAAAAGTTCAACTAGATTATATATAAAGATTTTGAAGATTAGGAAGCACTTCAACTGCATAACTGACAACTCCAACTTAGTGTCAGAAATGAACTCAAATTCCCTCCTCTCCCCCATGCTCTGGAGCTTCCTATCTCAGGTGACACTGCCATCTACCTGGTCACCTACAACCAGGCGACCATGGAGCCACTTCTGCCATCCCCATTTTTCATACCCACCCCATCCTACAGATTACCCATTCCTGTTCATTTTACTTCCTAAATATCTCAATGATTCATCAAATTATTGAAAACTTATGATATTTCAACATTGTATCAGCTACTGGGGAGATAAAGACAAAACAGAATATGGTTTCTTTTCTTTTTTATCTCTAGAGAAATTTCTTTAGGTTCTCATCTGATCTGTGGGGAAGAACTAATTCAACAGCTTCCTAGTATTAGAATGCAGTCTGATAGACTAACAAGGGAGAAATCAGAAGGAATCATAAAAGATGACTGGTTGCAGAACTGTAGGGAGATGGATGGTACGAGACTATCAGCTCAGTGATACAGGGACTATTATCTTGCATATGGTATCACTGGCGTGGTATGTAGTACACACTCAGAAACAAAGTGGATCTACTCTCAGGGCTGTAAAAGAGGTGAGGCACTCCTGCCCTTGATCCCTTGTCTGCAGCCGCAACTACTCTTCTCCTGGCTGAATTCTCTCTCTAAAAACCAATGAGGTATCACCTTCCTGCTTGAAAACAACCTATACTCTAGCCATTTTCCTGGACCAGTGGTGTGCTGTTTATATAGCTCAGGTTTTGCGTGGAAAATCTTCTCTATCAGACAAAATTCTACTTATTTTAGGCCCTGGGCCATACATGCTGTCCTTTTATCATAGCATCACTAATCTTCAAGAGCAAGCTGGTTCCTCCACTGGACGGACCCTCCCTGCAGTTTTCAGTCACATTATGCTGCATAGATTTATCTATCTGCCTCTCTCTGGAGACTGTGAGCTCCTGGAGGCCAGAACTCTATCTTATTAATCTTCTGCTATTTAACATCCTATCTGGCACATAGTAGGCTCTCAATAATCAGTTAAAGATACAGGGTTAAGGGAGGCTGAATATCTTTTATATATTCAGATTATCTTTTATATATTGCCAGAAATAGGTGAAGCTGCAATTATTAGTGTTTTCTCTTTTAACAAATATTTATTGTGTCTCCCGTGTTTGGTAGGCTGGTGATGAAAAACTGTTGAAAAATATACAGAAATCTTGCTGTTCTAGGTTTTAGTTAAATAAGAATATTTCAAAGACAGGTCAATATTGTGGAATTGAGATGGCAGGTTACTATTATTTCAACTTTTCTGTACGTTTGAAGTTTTTCATAATAAAACAATGAAAAAAGTTCCATTAGGAGACTTGGGAGGGATAACAATGTTCAAATAACTAAAGCGAAGCCTCTGTAGATAGATGCATAATACCGTCTTTTCAGAATCACTAGAACATGACAGGTGTACTTCGGCAGGGCATTGGTAGCCTTCACATATAGTATGTTTACCATACAGTATAGGCTTTAGGCTTTTCCTGTTTCCTCTTTTTTTTTAGAGAGAGAGTTCCCACGCAGGGTGTGGGGCCACAGGTGGGGGAGGGAGAAAGAAAATCTCCTCAGACTCGACCTCGGGCCTCTATTTCATGACCCTGAGATCGTGACCTGACCTGAAATCAAGAATCCAACACTTAGCCACTGAGCCACCCAGGCGCCCCTCCCGTTTTCTTTTCTATATGTGTGGACGTTTGTTACTAAGTATGATGTTACTTTTTGTCTCCTTCACCAACTGCCCTATGAACTTCCCTAGTTAGCAAGATGTTGATGTCAGCATATAAAAAGAGCATTTAAAAATTCTGATTGTGGTGAACAGAGAAGTCACTCAAATATGAACTGCAAGCAACTTATTTTTAGTTGTTTGTATAGATGGACACTACATATTATGTGATTGAATGATCTAGAAATGTGATGACAGCTAGTATTACTCCCAGAGAAAAAAAGTTATAGTTCTCATGATTTTGGCTCAATTCCACTATTGCTTCCTGACTGATGCTAATTCACTTTTTAGGCCATATTTTTCTATAGTATTTACTTAAGCTTTTATTGGCTTGCTTAAATTTTTTGTTTTACTTCAGAGGACCATGCTGAATTCTTCCTTTGGTTTCCACCATCAGAACAGCCACATTGGAGTTGAATTGTTAGGCTCCTAAAAATTAATTATACTTGACAGCCCTTAAACATAGTATTCCTTAACTGAGAACGGCCTATGATAAAGGTTCTGCAACTTTTATCAGTCAATTAGATTAAATAACTCTGGTGAGATTACCTATGAATTTTATTTCATTTTAAATCTCTACAGTGAATAAGCATTTCTGTAAAATTACAAAGTGTAGAAAATAATTTGGCATATTCAAGCACTCAACATCT